GTGTGAGATTATCAGGCAAAGAAATAAATGGTGTATGTGATAAAGTTTTGGGTTCAATCAATTGTGCAGTATTGGTGAACCATACGATTTAGTCGGGCTGTTGTATTCTGGGGAGACAAGTTTAGGTTTTTTCTGCTGCATCGGTATGAGGCTTTGCCTAACTGCAGAGGGCTTAAATTTCTTTAAAGAGAGCGAATTTCTCGCGCCTCAGCTCTTACAATAGTTATTGTAATTTTTTTTATTTGTATTTTCTGGTGTTTTATTTGTAATTATCATCAACATGATGAATTAAATAGAAAGAGCTGTTCAAAAAATAAATAAATTAATTAAATAGAAAGAGAGAGAGAGTCAATGGTGTATTGAATGGAATAGAGAGAGAAGAAATGGAACGGTGATGTCCTTTGAATAGAGAGTGTCGCACACTATATAATAATGAGTTTGTGGGGGTAAGCAATGCCCTGGGAAAATAAGTGTTAAAAGTCTTGAAAAGATAAAAGTCTTTTGGGGTGTTTTGGAAAGAATAATACTTGAGACCCCCACAATTTAGGACCCCCACAACTCTCAATTGATTTGTGGCCACTCATTTATTTATTTTTTTTCTTTTTCCCTCACTCTCTCTCATCCATCTCCCTCACAAAAAGTGTGGGGGTGTTGGGGTCTCCAGCACCACTATTTTGGAAATTTAGCTTTTAGCTACTTTTTTTTAGGTTTGTAGTAAAAGTTAAAAGTTGGTTTTTTTTTTTGTACTTAAAGACATTTGGGAAATTAGTTTTTAGCCACTGATGAAATTATAATTTTACCCCTCATAGGTCAAAATGTGCTACATAGGTAAAATTATAAATATTTTAAATTGAATGTGGGTAGTTTGATTATTTTATTGTGATTTGACATCATAAACAAATATTAATAAAAAAAGTCAAAAGTAACTTTTTACCAACTTTTTAAATCATTTGTCTAAAAAAGTCAAAAGTTTGGTTAAAGAGAAATTCTATTTCCACACGACTTCCTCTCTTTCCACATCTTTTTTCAATACACACACTAAATAAATTTAAATTATCAACTTTCATTCAAAACACATCCTATCATACCAAAAATACCCTTACCACAATCATCCTCCAAACCCTAATCCTAATAAGCCACCACCACTGAATGAGTATTGCCTAAGAGAGGATTCCTATCACACACTACAACATTTTCTTAGTTTAGTGACATTTGAAAGTGCCACAAAACTATTGATTTAATGACATTTTTTAGTCTTGTGGCATTTTGAACAAGTGCCATTTGTATCCGTGCCACGGTAGATACTTGCAAGTGCCACTACACTATCGTGGCTAAAAACTTTCAATGATATTTTTGATGTCATGGTAGATATTATTTGTGGCACTATCAAGCACCATTAAAAAAAGAATTAGTGACACCTATAAGTGTCATTACACCATCAAGACTAAAACCTTTCAGTGACACTTTAATGTCATGATAGGCACTATTCGTGACACTATCAAGTGTCATTCATGACGATAATTCATTGTAGAACAATTTGATCCGCTCTTGCGGAGACTCGAACCGCCAACCTCCCGCACCATAAACCTTATACACCACACTCTTCCCACTACACCTCTATAGCATCACATGATTATATATGCAACATATATTATTTATATAGTACATACATTCGAATTAATATAAAAGTATATGTATAAACATAATTATTTTATTGAACATAATTTATGTAAAATAAACTATTTACTAGCAAAATAAAAAAAGACCACTTTTGGCGACCAAAAATATTTTTTAGTCGCCAATTCTATACTTTTTGGCTACTAATTATTTTTTAGTTGCTAAAAAACTTAACTTTTGCTGACCAAAATTGGATTTGGTCGCCGAAGATGCACTTTCAGCTATCAAAATTTTGATTGTCAAAAAATTTAATTCCCGCCTTAGGATTTTAGTTCTCACGCGTTAATAATGACCATTTTTGATGACTAAACTTATTTTTGAATCGCCAATTGTAGACTTTTGGCTACTAAAATTTTTTTAGTCAACAAAAAACTTTACTTTTGGCTACTAAAATTTTTTTAGTCGGTAAAACCCATATAATCAGCGACCAAACTTATTTTTAGTCGCCAATTGTAGACTTCTTGCTCCTAAATTTTTTTAGTCTCCAAAAAGCTTTACTTTGGGCTACTAAAAATTTTTTAATCACTAAAACCTATATAATCAGCGACCAAACTTAGTTTTACTCGCCAATTGTAGACTTTTGGCTACTAAAATTGTTTAGTCGCCAAAAAGCTTTACTTTTGGCTACTAATGCTGTTTTGGTCGCTGAAAGCCATACTTTCAGCGACCAAAATTTTTTTGGTCAGGAAATTTAGTCGCAAAATGTGCTTTTTCCTGTAGTGTGTATTGAGTTTAATTTATTTATTTTTAATCATTTACTGCATTTTAAAAATTTAGAAAATATATTGGCATTTTTTATTTTTTCAAAAATGTCATTATAAGCTTCAAAAGTTTTTGGCTTAGTAGCATTTCTCAAAATGTTATAAAATATTTGTTTATGACACTTTTTACCTAAGTGCCATAAAAAGTAATTTGCACCTACCCAGTGTCCTGACATTTTTTAAAAAATGCCATTGCTACTAAAGTTTATTGTCATCTGTTGGTAAATGTCATGAACATAATTTTTGGTGTCATTATTTTATAAAATGCCATAAAATTGATGCGACATTTCTTTATTGAAATACCACTAGAGCCTTATATGTTTGTGGTTCTGTGGCATTTTTCTTAAACATTTAATGCCAATTTTTATGTTTGTGTCATTTTCTAAAAACATGCCACTAGTGTAGTGTCACTAAAGTGTAAATTTGTTGTAGTGACATTTTTGTTGTAGTGAAGTGATACTTTTTTTAATTGAAATGCCACTAGAACCTTGTATATTTGTGGCTATATGACATTTTTCTAAAAAAGGCAACTAAATATTCTTTTTGTGACATTTTTTAAGAACATACCACCAGTATAGTGTCACTAAAATGTGTTTTTATTATAATGACATATTATATTTTACACACCTAACATATGTATTTATTATTGTCTTGTTTATGTAATAATTTTGTATATTGGTTCTCATGATGGTATATTTATCATTGACATATTTACAGTTTGATAATGTCACCAATAGACTTCTAATTACTTCAACACACGCACGCAAAGCCAAAGATGGGGACTAGTTTATGAAAGTTTCCATAGATGGTTTAGTCACATGGATGTAAGCAATTCCTGTGTAGCATAGTAATACTTTATCTTAAAAAGCTAAGAAATTTTGTCACCTAAAGTTTGGTTTGAGTTGGCCGTATAACCAATTAATAATATTACATTTTAAACATCAAGGGATTGTCCATGGATGGTGATAGTGAAAATTGATGGTTTAAGACAGTTAGAGTTAAGGTTTTGGAAAAGAAATATTTTGGTAATTTAATTTTAAGACAAAAATGTAATAAAAAAAAATCATTAAGTATGTGGAAAGCGAAGAAGTAATGTGTGAAAATAAAATTATTCTTGGTTAAAAGCTAAAAAGTTATTTTTTACCATCTTTTCAAAATAGGAATTTGTAGAGTTGTAATAACCTATCAAATGACAACGCAAATAAATATAAATATAAATATAAAATATAAAATATAAAATAATTACGGTTGGATCGATTTAATCAATTTCAATTTTGCTAATTACGGTTGTAATAAGAGCATCTCCAACGGTGCATTTTTTTTCCATCAAATCTGAATTAAAAATGACCAATTTTACCAAATCTGATATCACTTGCTCCAACGGTGAACTTTCATCAAATTTACGCCGAGACAACCGGTTGGTCGACCGGTTAGGCGAAATTTTTTTTTTTTTTTTTTGAACTTTTTGAATCTTTTAGTGGTCGACCGGTTGGTTAACCGACTGGTCGACCGGTAAGGCAAATTTTTTTTTTTTTTTTTTACTGTTTGAACCTTTTCTTGGAACTGTTTGAACCTTTTGGTGGTCGACCGGTTGGGCAACCGGCCGGGCAACCGGCTGGTTGACCGGTTGGTCTCCCCCAACGGTCACAAACAGTGTTTTGATGAAATCAGTATTCTGTCCTCAATTTGATGAATTGTTTGGTGAAATCTCATTTTGATATCGATTTGGTGCAACCGTTGGAACACCAAACAGTAATTTTTTCACCAAATTTTAAATTTGATGTCAACTTTGATGTATCGTTAGAGATGGTCTAACCTATTCAATTTTGCTAATCAGACCAAATCTCAACAAAATTTGAAACTGCAGCCGACCGTTCTCTTCTTCCTCAAGATGTAATGACTTTTTCTCCTTAATACATTTCCCAATTTTTGTTTGTTAAAAAAAGGAAAAAATTATAGCCGACTGTTCAAGGCTTCAAAACTGTCCGTGCTATAATTAAGTCGGTTTGGATTGATCGGATAATCGGTTATTTGCACACCCTTACTAGCTAGGCTAATTCATTTATTAAAATTAAACGTTAGCAACATTTTTTTATGAAAGAGAGAGAAATGAGATCCGAGGAAATGATGTGTTAGTGTGCGGTGATTTTATCATTTTTGAGTGACAAAAAGGAAAGAATAGATTTCGCATTTTGTTACTTGTGTGTATGATATATATAATGAATTCGATAAAAAAAAAATTCAAATTATTCTAACAATATCCAACCGTCAATAATTTATATATATATATATATATTTTATATTTACATATATCATTCGATTTTGAGTTGCTCGCATTACTTAATATCTTTGAAAAGCCCAGCCTTCAAATTTTCAAATTCAAAAATATGTTGTCTAGATATTTAAAAATTTCATACTAAACTCGGATGGCTTGAATTTGAGTTGCACTTCTACTTAAAAATAATCACATAAGAAGTTAACTTTTGCCATACTAATATTAGTAGACAATATTATTATCTAATGAACAATTTTTGTATGGCGAACCACAATAAAATACAATTGAAAAAATTGGAGACCAAGATTTTTCATCTAAAAATAGAAGAAAAAATTGTGTTGGAATTGTCTTCCTCATTATTCACAACATTCATTCCACACAAACTAACAGTTCATTTATTTACCTTTAAACGCCCAAATCACACTCCATTTTTCATTGTTTTTCTCATTATCTCCACAACATTCAATCTACTCAAACTAACAGTCCATTTATTTACCTTTAAAAACCCAAATCTCACTTCCCATTTTTCAGATACTCAACAAACTCATCAACGTACTGATGATGCAGCTTTTGATCCCTGAAAATCACAGCAGCTTTCTCTACCCGAGTCCTCATTTCGTCTCCTTCCTTGGAAGCCATAGATTTTCTCAGACAGAGAGCTATGTTATTCCCGCAAAACGACCCATCTTCACCTCTCTCCACTTCAATCGCCAAACCTTTCTCCACCAACAACCTCGCGTTCAATGGCTGATCGGCGATCAGAGGCAAAACAACCATACAATGCCCGAATCGTAATGATTCGACCACTGAACCCCAACCGGCGTGAACCAACGATCCTCCGATTGATGGGTGAGCCAGAATCTCGATCTGCGGTGCCCATCCGATTGAGACTTTGCCTCTACCGGAGGTCCGGCGACCGAAATCCGGCGGCATAGTGTCGAGATCGTCGGAAGCCCAACTGGGTTTTCTCAGAGCCCACAAAAATGGCAGTTCCGATGACTCCAACCCAGAGGCTATCTCGTAAACTTGGTCTCTGGAGAATTTACACTCGCTTCCGAACCCAACAAACACCACCGAATTGGGTTTCTGTTCGTCGAGCCATTCGAAGATCTTACTCCACTCCCCGTTATGCGCGGCGGCGGTGGGTGTTTTTTTGGGTTTTTCCGGCAAAAGTACGCCAGTCGGAATCACCCTCTTATTACCCATGATCTTCCCGAACAAATCAAAATACTCACCTTCAAACTCTCTGCAACTACGAATCGTCACAGCTCGACACCCATCAAGTGTTCTAGCGACTCGCTCGGCAACCGAAATTCCCGAGGCGTTTGCTGTGTAGAACCCAGCAATGACTCCGATTGCTTCATAACGACGATAATGTACCGATGATCGGCAACTGACCCACCACGGCGGCGACGTCAAGTCCTCCGGCGACGACCTCAGTCTTCTCTGGCCATTACCGGATAAATATTCTGGTGGGCCGAAGAACACATTGGTGGCGGCAGAGCAAGCAGAGAAGATGACGAGAGGGATATGGCACTCCTTGGCTACATCAACAGTCCAGTAAGAAACGAAGTCGGAGATGATCCAATCGGGTGATTGTTCAATAACGAATTGCTTAAAGGGGTGTTTGAGGAGATCGAAGGCGGCCATTAAGTGCTCGAAATTGTCGGGGAGGATGTCGGCGGTGGCCTCGATACCTTCTGGGAGAAGGTTCGTGCCCACCGTCGACCACGAAAGGGGGACGAAGGTGATGAGGGATGACAAATGGGGAGGGAGTGGAGGGAGTCTCTGAATGTTGTTTCGGGTAGAGATGAAGGAGACATGAATACCGGCTTTGGCTAAGGCGATGGAGAGCTCGTAAAATGGAATTAAGTGGCCGAATGCGACAAACGGTACAAGGGCAGCGTGAATGTCTCTCTCCATTGTTTGTTTGGGGCTTGAGTGGAAGAGTCTGGATAGAAGCCGGGAGTGTGTAACCTAATTACGGTATCATCCATTTATAGAAGGAAACTTGGATCCGTTTTTGTTTAGTTTTAAAATTATGATTGAAGTGTGGAATTGTGTTTTAAATTCAGTTTTTGAATCATGATTTTAAAAAAAATTGTTTAATTATGAATTTTGAAAATAATTTTAGAATGATTTATAATTTTTTTTTATTAATTAATGTATAGAATATAAAAAAATGTGAAAGGAGAGATGAGAGAAAAAGTAATTTATTAATTGATTAATAATAAAAAAAAAGAGAGGAATTTTAAAAATAATATTGAATTGCATTTTTAAAATATGTTTAGTTAACATGTTTCATTCAAATCATGATTTAAAAATAAAATTAATTAAATAGTGAAGTTGCATGCACTTATACTTTATTGAAAAATATTATACAGAATCCTTATTATTACTTTTTATTCTATTTTTTTTTCATTTTTAGATACAAGTGTATAGGTTCTATGTGTATTTATTGATATGAGCCTTTTATTTTGTATTTAAAAATGAGAAAATAAAATAAAAATATATAATTATGTATAACATTGCTCTATTTTATTATATTATGTCTTATAATTTTTTAATCAATAAAGTCTAATTTAGAATACTAAATACTTTTTTAAAATTTGAACAAAACTTTTGATTATTTTAACATTATTTATGTGTAAACGCAAATTTTGCGTCGTGGTTAACATGGTTATTTATAGGAGGAATTACAAATAAATTTAAATGACCAACAGTAATTATAGAGGGATGGTGTACATGTGAGTTTGTTCAGGGAAATTATAAAATATTTTTTGGTGATCATTATTCAATACAATGCTTATTTGAAAAGAAAAATGCTTGGGAGCACTAATTAGGTGGCAGTGGGTCCCGTCATTAATGATGTGATGTTTTGGTCTTGGAGTTGTATTTTTTTTTATTTTTTTTACTTTTTTAATGCATTAGTGCTATTAGTGGTAATGTTTTTAGTGGGATGAATAATTGTTGAATTGAAAAATGGTAGAGGCCTTAAAATTTTCCCCCAATTTTTTTTTTTTTTTTTTTTTTTTTTTTTTTTTTTTTTTTTGCTGGGTTGATTTTTTGCTTATTGTTATTATTATTATTTTTATTTATTTTTTTCTGCAATGATTTAGCCCAGAAAAAACAAAAAAAAAAAAAAAAAAAAAAATTGCATTTCGAGGCAATTTCGCGCCTCAGTCTCGAGGCCTCAATCACAGCTCTTAAAATAAAAATAAAATTAGGTTCTAGATTGATAGGTTAAAGCAGCTGGACCGAGAGCACGACAACGATGTTCCTTATTTACGGAAATTATTTTTAAAATAAAATCTCTGATAAAATTGAAGATTAAAAATTGAAGATTAAAAATTAAATATCAAAAATTGAATGTTGAATTTTTTAAGTTAAAAAGTGATTTAATAAAAAATTAAGTACTGAATTAAAAATAAATTATTTGATATGTATAAGATCAAATTTAAAATTTATTACTTTTAAATTGTATTTTTCAATTTTTGTGTTGTGATGGTGGCGGCGGCAGCGGCAGCGGTAGCGGCAGCGGCGGTGGTAACGTTGATGGCGGTGGTGATTGTGTTAGCAATAGTGATGTAGTGGTAGTAAAATGATGCTGGTACTTATGACAACAATAACAATGGTGATGAAGGTGGTGGTGGTGGTGGCAGTGGTAGTAGTGACGGTGACAGTGACGGTGACGGTGACATGGTGGTGACGATAGTGGTAGTAGCGATGGTGGTAATAGTAGGGGTGACATGATAGCGGTGGTGGTTGTGGTGGTGGTAATAGTAGCAATGGTAGTAGTGATGTGGTGGTGAGTTTGTAATAGTATATATTAATACTTAGTGCCATTTTGGGAACATAGTAAAAAGTCACGTTTTTTGACAAAATGTCCAAAAACGTGGCTGCCAAAAACGCAACAAAATTCCTTTGGGAAGTGCCAAAAATGCAGTCCTAAAATTACAAATTAGGGCCTATGAAAAAAAAATAAAAAAATAAATCTCTTATGTTGGGTAAGGGTATTTTGGTCATTTTAATTTGATTTGACACCATAAATAAATATTAAACTAAAATGCAAAAAGTCAGCTTTTTACCAACTTCCAAATCACTTCCAAAAAAGTCAAAAAATTTGGTAAAAAGTCAAAAGTAAGCTTTTTACCAATTTCCCAAAACAACCCTTATATTTAGTATTTATAAATTCAATCCGAATTAAGTAACTTTCATATAACTTATAATTTTATTAAATTTTAGCCTACATTTTAAGAGGCACTTAAATTTTTAAATGATATTAATTATGGTTATCAGATAAGTTTAATTGATTATCACTTAATATATTCAGTTTTAAGTGCTAAATCTGGTTATCAAACACTCCCTAAATGTATAGCGATTATGGTTTTAGACCCGACCCATTTGATATTCTGGACTCAGGTTTCATGGTTCTGTATTGTTGTTCTTGTCTTATTCCTCTTTTTCCTCTTGAGTTTGGCTATTGGGTTGTATTTGTTTGCGTTTGGAATATGTTGGTAGTTTAGTTTCCAAACATTTGTTACCCAGAATTTTACTTCACTCGAGCGTCACTTTTTACGCTCGAACGGGCTTTGTGAACTCTCAGTATTTTTGCAAGCCTGCAAAACTACAGAGAGAGTGTATTCTCCGCTCGAGCGATGCATAGCGGCCATTCTTATACTCGAGCGATGGTCATCTGTCAGTAAAACTACTGGTAGTGTATATTCTACGCTCGAGTGTCACTTCTTGCGCTCGAGCGGTAACCATTTTGTGTTTGGACGCTCGAGTGTCACTCTTGCGCTCGAACGGACTGTGAGTAGATCACACCAGGCCATTTACTTGAAGCTTCCCCTCTGGTAGACATCTGTCGCATTATTTGTGTTCTGATACTGTCCAATAATCTGGTTATTGGAAGGTGATGTGCCTCAGCAATCCAGTTGTTGAATGATTTAGTAGAATTGGAGGACATCTTGCCATACTAGTTGCCCCTGGATTACAGGGTGTTGGCCTATCCAAAGGCGGTGTTAGTGGATGTAATGTCTTATAGAACAATATGGGGTATGTTAAAAACAAAAGGTACAAGTTTAACATGTAAAGATACGCACCTAAAATAAGCATTCATCCAATGGGGTGGGGGTAGATTTTCGAGAAAATCGGTTGCAATTTTCTTACCGAAATTGGTGAACTTTCCAGCTATCTCTTGAAATGCATTCATGGTTGGTGCATAAGCACAGTTGTCGAACTTGGCTATCAACCCAATCCGATGCAAATTGTTTATATATTTCAGCTTGTCCCTTAAGTTCCTCTGAAGGCGTTGCATGCAAAATGCATGGTGAGCATTCGGGAAGATAATGGGCATTGCCTCCATGAGCCCAACATGACAATCCGATATGAATGTCAATGTCCTGTCCTCACTGAGCGCGTTACAAAGATGTTGCAAAAACCATGACTAGTTTGTTGCGTTTTCTGCGCCAACAATCGGAAATGCGACTTGAAACAATCCTGTATGGAATCATATTGGTAAGCTTTGTGTGTCGGGGAAGGTTGTATGTGTGACAATTACCATATTAACGTGATAGAAAAATTGGGCAATCGTGGTTATGTGACTTGTGTACTCGATTTTTACAAGTGTGAGACGTACCTTGGTTTCCATCCTTAGTCGTGGCAACAAGTAAATTCCTTTTGAATCTCCCCTTTAAGAAAGTGCTATCTAGGAAAAGTAATGGGCAACAATGTTTGAATCTGCCAATGCATGCTATGAATGATTAAAAAATCGTTCGAAACGGTTGTCATGCTCGTCGCAATCAATATTGATGTAAGTACTTGGGTTGTGTTCCATTACGGCCCTACTGTACTAACGTAGTTAGTCGAAAGATGTGCTATGAGGGTCAAATAACTCGCCTCTAGCTTTTTCAACACCTAACCAAGCAACACGGTAACTTATCTCAAGTCCATAATTTTTTTTTTTTCAAATCAAATGCAACATTAATCGGCCTAGTTAAAGGCTTGTTGCGTATACGTTGTGCGAAAATGTCGGACACCAAGTCTGATCCGAGTAGTCGGTTCTTTATTGTGCTAATAGCGATGCCACAAATGTGTTCACTGTTCCATTTACGAAGGTAAAAAAACCCATTAGCATCCAACACTCGCGCATGCACGAACCATGTGCAACCCTTCGAGTCTCGCAGCGAACACACAGTAGTAATTTGTACCTAGTCGTTCTTCAACTACTTGAATTTGAAACCACACTCCAGCACATATTTGCAAAGAACCGTCTGAAACTCATGCGCTCCTCCTTTGAAACTTTGTCCCACATGAGTAATTTCGTTAGCCCATGTGGCCAATAGGAAAGTCTTTTTATCATGTGGACAGTAACTTGACAACAAATCGACATCGTAATCCATATCCACCATGCGAACACCCCGTTTGACACCATTCATAGGGAGGCTTGGACTGTTGTCAACAAAATCATCGTTGGATGATACACTTACACAACCGCGTAACTCAACCATAACGTTGATTAGTTGCAAGCGGAAAGAGTATGTAAGGTTAACCATATTTTGCATATCTACATCATTTTGTAAGGATAAATTGTTATAGTCCGGACTCTTAAAGAACAAGCAAACATTACCCGGCGAAAGCCCAACAAATTTGTCACACACAAAATTAACCAGCTCGACAAATGTGTACGAAGATTTCAAAATATATGCAACTTTGGTGGACCGAAAACACCGCAGCAACATAATAATGTCATCCATTTCTGCATACAAAATCGTAGCACACAGTTTAGAATGTTAGAAAGAAGTTACCAATACACAACCACGACCGTATGTGTGTTGTCCACAACCACTCCAAAATCACCCCCACACATAGTTTGCGAAATGGACATGGTAAAAACTGCATCGGGGGTGGCGGTGCCGCAAACAATTTGGAAAGCATATGAAACACACATATACACGGAAAAAACAGAGAGTATACAACATCATTTTCAATGT